TAAGAGGATCGAATCATCGATTATTTGACATTTTAAAATTATCCCGCATTAGTTTAAAGATGAAATTGGATTTCATCGGTAACCCCGAAAATATTCTAATTGAGCTTTGAAACCTCTATGGTATTTAGACATTACGTAAACTAGACGTAAATCCTTTTACCACCCTTCTTGAAACATCGTGACCCAATTGCTCTGTTAAGGTTACAATACATCTAACTTGCCTAGTGAATTTATCTACGACCGATTATCCTAAAACTTGGTTCTAAGTCATTATATGAGTGGGATATGATCTATCTAAGTTTCAAAAGTGGCCTCTTCAAGCCTCATGAATCATAATAGAATATTGGGGCTATTAAAGGCTATGATTGGTAGGCATGAAAAATCATTAGTTACCCATTGCGCGATAGTGACTAGCGAGAAGAGTTAAGATTTCCGAATGTTTACCGAGGATGAAACCTATCGAGGCACCATTACTACTTCCCTAAGTCCTAAGGTAAGTGTGTGATAAACATGAAAAGTAATGGTGAGTGTAATGTGTGCATAGACATTATTTCATATCTAGTCCCAAAGAAAGAAAAATAAAAATAAAGAAACAAATAAAGACACAAAATGAAATAAAATAAAAATAAAAATAAAAATACAAGGCAAATAATAAAAAAAGCATGAATTTAAACAAAACAAATAAATTACATAAATCGACATATGGGTATAAAAATTCATCATATCATTAGAAACTAACTTAAAAAATTATAAGCAAAGCATTGCCTTAAGTTTGTTCCCCAGATGGAGTTACCATTCTATCACATGGCGATGTCGGAGTGAGGGCTACGTGTTGAGGCAAAAATAGGGAAAATGGGTAAAAATAACTAGACTCGCCACCTAGTATTATGGTTACTAGAAAACCCTATAACCGGTTTTTTTAGAGTTTTGGATAAGGGGTTTATTACATGTAAGGAAGATTGAGATCACCTTACCTCGTTCGTTTAAGATAAGCCGCATTACATACAAAAAAATGATTTGATTTCTGATTTTTTAATGATGAAAGTCTATACTTATTTTTTAAACATTTGCCCATTAGTCGAGTGATTTGGGACTTGGTCGGCCAAATACCTTGTCCTCACTTTGTAATGAATAGCTAAAAAGAAAAAAAGACATGATGTATGCAAGGATATGTTGCTAATGCAACTTAAATGGCATGCATAAAAATAAAAATTAAAAATAGATAAATAAGCCAATAGACAAAAGAAACAAATCGACGTAATAGGAAAATAGGTAGATCGATAGTTAGGCAAAGTCGACAAAATCGACAAATAGGCGATTAGATAAAATAGGCAAAATCAATAAATAAGCGAGATAGGCCATTAGGTAAAATCGACAAAATTGACAAATAGATAGATAGGAAGCTAAGAAAAATAGACAAAATTGACAAATAGGCAGATATACAATTAGACAAAATAGACAAAATCAACAAATCAAGCAAAATTAACAAATAAGCAAATAGGTAAAATAGAAAAATAGGCAGATAGGCCATTAGGTAAAATGAGCAAAATAGAAAAATAGGTAGATAGACAGTTAAGTAAAATAGATAAAATTGACAAATAAAAAAATAGGTAACTAGGTAAAATCGACAAAATTGATAAATAGACAAATAGATAATTAGGCAAAATAGAAAAATAGACAGATAGGCAATTAGGCAAAATTGGTAAAATCGAAAAATAAATAGATAGGTAGTTAAGAAAAATAGGCAAAATCAACAAATAGACAAATAGATAATTAGTTAAAATAGGAAAAATCAACAAATCAACAAAATTGACAAATACACAATTAGGCAAAATCGACAAATTAATAAATAGACAAATAAATAAAATCAATAAATCGATAAATAAGTAATTAGACAAAATCGATAAATGGGAAAATAGGCAAAATTGGTAAAATCGATAAATTGACAAATAAACAAAAAAGATAAATCAGTAGAAATTGGCAAGGGCTATAAAAAACAATAAAAATGACAAGATTGACAAAATTGACAAAAATCATTAAAGTTGACAAAAATGATCCGAAAACAAGATTAAGACCTACGAGACTTCAAAAGTTGTGATCTTCATGCAAAATTGACACAATAGCAAATTAATTCTCATAATGTGCAAGCAACAATCCAAAACAAGGTTCGGATTCACATGATGCGTAAATCACATTTTTTTAAAGAAAAATTAGCATAAAATTAAGTAACCATTGCAATGGCTTAAAATGACCTCAAAATGAAATTCGAACCGACGTCACTCAAGAATCACATTTTTTAATAAATTGACAACAATGTGAAAATAAATCGATTTTTGATAAAAATGACCCAAACAATGAGGTTCGAACCGGCGTGATCCGAATGATATTTCTTAGATGAAATTAGCACTTGAGCAATTAGCAAAAAATGAGCCAAAAACATGGTTTGAATCGACACGGAGCAAAAAATTAAATATTTTAAGACAAATTGGCACAATTCAGCTTAATTGTCACAATTGACCAAAAGTGGTCCAAAATTGAGATTCGGATCAACGCGTCTTAAAAAATCACACAAATAATAATAAAATTTAACCATATCAACAAGTATTAACGTCAACCAAACCAACACAAATGCAATAACCGTTTAATTAAACCATACACAACATGACAGTTTAATCAAATTATACATAAGAAACAATTCAATTAATTTACACACATAGCAGCTAGCTTAATTAACATACAAATATATCAAAAAGAATTAATTAATTTACAAGCGTAACAACACGAATTAAATTTAATACATATAAAAATGAAATAATATAAAATAAAAGATAAAAATAAATTAGTGTAAAAATGGTCGAACAAATTTAATCGTTGAATTTAGGGTCAATTCCGACCTTTTTAACCCCGATGAAGACCGATATTAAGTAAATCAAGAAGGAAAGGCGAATGCCCATTGTCAAATCCGGTCAAGTTGGCTACCGAAGGGGCCGGATCTACTAGAGGTGGTCGCTAATCGGTTTTTGAGCTTGATAAGTCCGACCAAAGTTTTGGTTGCTACCGATCGATTTTAGAGCTATTGATCGATTGCCGGAGGAGTTATAGTAGATCGACGTGGAGCCGGAGACTCGGTTGAACCGTAAGGAGCCGCTATTGGCAATGGCTTCGACAATGGAGGAGACTAGGCCGAGTAGCTACCGGATCGATGGCTAGAAAGGTCGTTCGATTTGGGATGGACAACAACTTTGGGTGGAGGAGTTGTACCGCTGCTGGTCGACCGGAGAAGGATGGTGTGGTTAAGGTTGACATGATCGACAACTGAAGGAGTGAAGGAGAGCCGATAAAATTTTTTGAGAGAGAGAGAGAGCTGGTCGGATTTCGATTTTAGTGAGAGAAGGTGGTTGGAATCCCCTTTTAGAGAGAGAACAAAGTTGTATTTATATTGATTTTTTAGGACAAAGTTTAGTTTGGTCTCCATGTTTACAAACTTGTTTTATTTTGGTATTTTTCTCTCTTGTTTTCAATTATACTCCTCGATTGTATTTTTTTTAGTCCCTTCTCTTTTTTCTTTTTTTGTATTTTTGAAAAAAAAATTGAGTGCTAGCATGTTTCCCGGTTAATATAGATCAAATGGTAAATGATAAATAGAGTTATTAAGTGTTGTCAATGATCGACTTGTAATTCGATGACAGCTTGCTCTTGGACTAAATGCTTTTTACGTGATTAATTTCTCAAAATTTCATCACTGTTTTTCTTAATTATTGTGAGCAAATTCAACTAAAAACCCTCCATTTTTTTATTTAGTTATTTAAATTGAGCATAAATAGAATCAAAATATACATTAAATTAGTTTCTATGTGATGAACCTAGACTTACCGATAGCTATAGTAATGAGGTTTAGTAAATTAATTGTGGCATTATGACATGCTATTAGTAACATTGAACCAACTAAGTAGAATGGATACAAGTAATGAGAGGCATGGGATGAGGAGTATGCAATGCTAGCAAGATGCAAATCAAGTGGCTAGTAGATGGGTGGTCAAAGTCTAAACATATGAAGTTTTAGATGTTGTCTAGTTTGAATGAGAGAGTTTTGATAGAGGGAGAATTTAGAAGCTTTTGCTAGAGATCATAAAGTTAGAATCTACCTCATAATGATGTAAGATTGGTATTTATAATGAATTAAATATGGTCTTTGATTGCTAGGATCGCATCAAACCATCAAAGTTTGAACAGTTAGATTTGAATTGAAAAAATTAGGTTCGTTTGGAATAAACTCGCTTCAACTCGATATAAAAGACTAAAAGAAATAACAATTGGATCTTTTTTTAGCAGATCTTACTTCGAGCCTATCAAGCTAATTTTTTTTATACATTTCAAGGACAAGACACGGAGACTAATCCCGTCAAGATAGTAGCGTTTATTTTTGCACAATCCAAAACTTTGTATTGGACGAGACTTATTCTTGATCTAATTTCAATAATTGTATAATTTGGATCCATACTAAATTTGAAGGAAATAACATGAATTAACATATAATAAAATTAGATAAATTAATTAATTACTTTTGTCGATAAATTAAGCATAGAGTTGGATGATCCCATTCCCATGATTGTGGTTTGCACGTGTAAGGAAAATCTTCTACTATCTATCATCAATATCTTATATTTGTGCATGTTTAGAACGTCTTTAGAGGATTTGAATGGATATTTTAGATTACAAATTATGAATTATGGAGATGTTCTAGCTAGGGCATGATAGGGCTTTGTTACTGCACTATCCACTCATGGTTAATTGCAATTAGGCAAAAAAATATTAGTTTGTTCCGTTGGAGGAAGCAAGACAAACTTCTGAGATATGGGGTATAAGCCCACACAGGTTGATCTATTAGACTCAGGGCCTCTTTATTTTGATAATGTCCCCACAGTATATGCAGTATGCTCTGTCAACTTGCATTGCTGAACCAAACTAATAAAATTGATATAAAAGGGAAGGGAAAAGAAATGGAAAAATTAGAAGAGGTCTGCTGGTGCTATACTGGCAGCTGACCTTGTCTTGCAGTCCAAAAGTAACTAGTAAGGCTTAATCATTTGGGTAAAGTCTAGCAATACTCTACCTTCTACACATGGCTTGTTATTTTATTGGGCTAATACTTTTCAGTTTTCCCTGTCCATGTACAGTAATACCTTAAGGAATACTGTTATTTTATTTAGTTACTCCGAATTCCCAACATTAGAAGCAAAAACCTTATATATTGCTTTGCATATGATTAAGCAATAGGATTTGGATACTGATGGATCATGTTTCAAATCTAATAATTAACTTTAAATTCAATGATTTAGATTAAATGAGAGAAAGTAAATAATCAAATTTTAATTTATTTATATTTTATCATATATTAAATTATTAAATTAAATTTAATATAATGAATTTCAATCATACTCAATAAGCAGGCTATGTAAAATTAGCACCTTGGAAATCTCATAGGAACTAATAGATATTCTTTATTTTATTTTTTCAATTTTTAGAGTCATTAAATTGGAGTCTTATATTGATATAAGAGTGACCATGTTGGTGAGCAGTTAATTACACAATCATGCATGATAGGAGACTAACTAGAAAACAATCAGAACTCAGAAAGTGATTGAAAAGAAAATCTTACAGCATATATATGTCACGGAGGTGCCTTTGTAGAGTAACATGCTATTTGATATTTTTAAGTTGACAAAGATAAAAATATCAAGGAATGTAGTTTAGCAGCAAAGTAATTATTTTGATTTGATCAGAATTAGAATTCAATTTCTATTATTTATGAATAATTAGTTATAATTATTTTTTAATAGTGCCAAGTTTGGATTAATTTGACATAAAAGACAACTCAATAGTAGAACAAAATTAAACTTGTTATGACTCTAGTCTAATTCAAGAAATAATGGATTTAGTCTCAATTTATGCAAAAATTGATTAGAAAATATTCCACTATTTATAAATATGGGAAAAAAATGTCGACAAAGATGATTGCATATAATATTATTTACCTCGGATTATAGATATATGGTAGGTTCTTTAGAGGTGGAGTGTTTAGCTTTGATACCAAGTAAAATTGGATCGCTAAAATTTAAAAAAAAAATTTATGAAAGCTTGAAGCAATTAAATAAAGGGAAGGAAAACAATAGATAGAAATTCAAACTCACACATATATTAATAGAACCTTCAAGAGGATGGTTACAAGAAGACGATTCACTTTTCACACTCAAATTTTTCTTACAAAGGAGAAGCAATCTAAGACTTGGAGGTTAAAAAATTTCAATGCTCCTCAAGTCCTTACATAGAGATGAGATTACAAAAAGACAGAAAATGAATTTTACAAGTAGATGACCTAAAAATAAAGAGCTTAAAGCATCTTTTTACAAGTGGTCCGAAACAAATAAAAGCATAAAGTAAAATATTTCTTCGGTCGACAATAGTGGGAAGAGGGGCCCAACACATGGCCTAAGATTCTTTGAATAGGAAGGAGCTACGCAAACAATTTCCCAAAAGTAAAGGGTCCATAATTGACAATAAATGTGATGATAGCCTCATTAGACATCGTGGCAAACAACGTTTTCAAAAGTTGAGGGTCCTCAAAAGGCGAAGTTACCTAGAGGGACCAAGATGAATACTTATGATGTCTATCATATTGACATCCTTATCTAAATTTTCATAGGGGTCTTGTGAATCTTGAAATAAAGACTTATTACTCTTTGTATCTTGCTCATGAGAACTTCGTTAAAGAGTTTTTAATCTCTTCTTTAAAAGTAGAAGAAAAGAGTTCCCCGATGAATGTTTTTACAAAGGATTTTGGAGCTTCAAGATTACCTTGATTTAGAAAGAAGAATTTTCCTTCTTCAAAATTATACTTTGCCCACCATTTAATAAATGATCTTCCGAGAAGGTGAAAGAGGCCTATTGAGATTTCTCCTCTCTTATCGTTAGCATTTTGTATGATATAATCCCACTTAACAATCCAAGGAAGTTGATAAAGGGATACAAAAGAGATTAGATTTGGTAGATCACGAGTAGCAACAAAGTCTTTAAAGTGAGAAGCAACAGATAAAGGCATGTAGATGAAAAAAGAGACCCTAACAAGAAAATCATTCCCGAAACCAAATAGGAAAGGATTCTGAAATAGTCTTAAGTTGAAACCGAACAAACTAGCCGTGCTTTAGAGGCTTGTTCTCATAAATTAATGAATATTCCCAAGCATCAATATAATCAAAATAGAAGTAACCTTTGAGGAAATAAACATAATTTTTGAGAGATTTTTATGCATGTAGATCTTTTTCCCAATCCGAAGGAGAAAGGATCTTAACAATGGTGAGCTTGGAATAAGCCCATTCATTTCGATTTCTATCTTGATTGAAGAATACTACCGAGCCGATCTCAATAAGAATAGCTTGATAATAAAATACTCCCTCTTTTCTCGAATTAAGAGGCAAATGCTTGTTTAGCATGATGTAAGCCGCTCGATAAGACCGACATGTCTTTTATTTCATCTTGTAGAGGACACAATTGATTAGAGGTACTGGGGTCCGTATGTGTGTGAATCTTTGTTAGATGTTTTATTGTTTTATTAATTTTGTAACGGCCAATAGAGGTTTGTCCAATGATAAGTATTGAATTTACTTTTTTCATTAGCATTTTTGATTTAAATTCAAGAAGAGAATAAATTTTCCATTAATTTACTAATTATTTTGCATTTGCCACATATATATTTAAAATCAAGTAAGAAAGTAAGGAGATATCGGTTTGAGAATAATTCAACCTTTAAAATAACAAGAATAGTATTAGCATCATTTACCCCATCTATAAACACACTCTTGTAACTTATGGGGCGAATTTGCATGAGTCAGGAAGCATCATGTTTATAAGATTAAGGGAAATTTTAATTTGCTCACATGAGATTTGAAGGATTTTTTATTTTTTCTAATGAAATTTTGTTAGTATTAATTACTTCGTAAATTTTTATAAAAAATTCAACTCTTCCCTTCCATCTATTAAATTAACATAGCTAATGACATAATATTTTTTATGTTTCAATTAACTTTCTAAAATTTTAAGAAAATCAGCAAGCATTCTTCTATCTATTAACTATCTTTTTTTTATGATAAGAAATATATATATTTTTTATCTCATATTTTTCAAATTTATAAACTTTTAACATATAAAAAAAATATTGATAAAATTACAAAAACTCAAACTATAAAATTTACATATTATAATGAAGTTAATAATTTAATACCAAGTTAACATAATTTTTTGATAAAAATGAAAAAAATTAACATAGTTTGGTATTAACGCATGTCTTAATGATGTAAAGCATAAGGTTTAATATTATAAAAGTAATAATACTAGTGCAATATATATATTTATACAAATCATAATTGAAAATTTTATATTAATTCTTCAAATCATATTAAAATTCATAAATTCAAATTAATAACTAATGATTTGGTAACTCATAATTGATTTAATACTACTTTCTATATATTTTTCAAAATCTGACGAAATTTTCTTTTATGAATTTTAATATGATTGGAGAATAAATATTTGATTGAATTTTTTTTAATATTTTAAGAAGTCAAATGAAATATAGAAAATGTCATATCATTAGTTATATTAGTTTAATAAATAAAAATTTAAAAATGAAATTTTGATTAAAATGTAAAAGAATAATTGATACAAAGGAAATCTCAAAGGAGAAATTGAGACCCTAAAATTTCAGTATACAAATTAAAATTTATCCTAATATCAGTTCATTAAACCTTCCCTGAGAAACACGTGGGGGTCTCCAAAGGTAGTCGGCGGAGGTCGCTAACCACAAACAAGGTAATTAGCAAAATGGAAAGGATATTTCAAAAAGACGACTAAAATGTTGTTGCCGTGTGATGTGGATCTAGCTGCTGTATTTTATATTCTACAAATTAACGTCAATTTTTTTCTTTTTTAAATTAATTATGGCTTATATTTTTGTCGGTTTTTCTTGAAGGTCATCGGGGATCATGAGATTCCGTCTTGGTGGCTCCAGGAAAACCCAGCAGTTCTACACCGAGAGGGGCCTTGTGGAATCTTTCTCAACAGACCAAAACGAGAGTTTTGGTAGCTTTCGGGCCAACTAAGTTGGTCCAGGTTCTGAACCACTAAAATAATGTATATTCTTTTGAAAACAAAGATAACATTTTAATAAGATAAGTGAGAGAGAGGAAAGAATATTAATAAGATCAAGTGGAAGATAAAGAAATATTTAATATTATTTAAATATTACTATGGTTTTTTACAAATAATTATTTTAGGACAAAAATTGTGTTTGTTCCCAATTTATATCTGTTAGGAGGGTGTGTGTTGTTAAATATAAACACAAACACTTTTGTTCTGTCAACAAAAGTACTGGATGAGTACAGGCCTTGGTGAATATTCAATAGGCTGGGACAGCCTCAACATATTGAAGATTTATTAATGCTTCGAGTAATTATATATTTGCCTGTCCACATTACTTGGACCAACCAAATAAAATACACAAAACAATGATTTCAGCTTTCACCGAAAAGTCACACACAGGAATAGGATATCACTATCGTCCACGTGGTTGATAAATAATAAATAAAAGCAAGCCACGAAACCTAACTTTAGTGGGGCTAGTTTTCTGTGGCTGCTGGGGTTGCAGACCTACCTCCTAAGGGTGAATTATCGCTCCTATCTTATGCTGAACCTCTCCGAGTGGAGGGTTTGGGACCATGGTGGGGTTGATGACTTGATGTTGCTCCAGTGCTTGTTCAGGTCCATTAACGCATGATTGCTAAGGATATATTAATATTCCCATTTGGAATCATATCATATTGATATACAGCACAACAATAAATGGAATATCAATGGTTTTGTAGCATAGAGCTAGAAAATGATGATAGAAAAATTAAGTTCACGACAAAATCAGAACGAAAAGATTTTACTTAAAGTATCAATCATTAAGTGTCATTCAATCATACTGTGAGAGGGAATGAAATTCGAATATATTTCTACAAGTCCGGACACAAAGATTTTTACTCGTCTCATAAGGAAAAGAAAAGAATATGGATTTTTAAACATTTTCTTAAATAAAGATAACATATCCAACAATAAAATGACTGTTTGGAAAATAAACGTAATGTGAACACCTACCTTTAAGATCATTAAAACTCTCATATCACCAATGCACAATCCTTGTTACATTTTTTAAAATTCGTGAAGAAACCGATTATATATCCCCAAAAGATATTAAAAATATCATAAAATAAAATAATTTTACCAATAACTATCTTCACACCATAGGCAATACCCTTATTAAAATTGAACAAAATGTCAACAACTCAACTCGTCATTACACAAAAATCCCCCGAAACAAAGATTAAGAACCCCATCTTTAAACCCTAGGAGATCTCAAATACTAGTAAAAATCAATTCCAAAAGGCCAATAAGCTCGAATTTCTCAAGGCTATACAACAAAAACTTAATAAAATAGAAGAAACACAATCCACCCTTCTTGCACTAGAAACTCCTCAAGGTTCCCACACTATAAAAGCCCTTGAAACCACACCAGAAGATGAAAATGCATTTCAAAAAGAAACTCCTTCCATAGAAATAAATAAATTACATTGGAAAAATACAAAAAGGTTTTATTATCCTAGGATTACTACGCCGGACATTGACATTGGACAAAAACCAAGCATCCTTTCATAACACCGTTACAATGCTACTTTTGTCTATGAATGGAATATAGATGAAATGTCCGAATACAACATCCTCGGCCTTTTGCAACAAATGACAATGGCTGCTAATGCTTACATAACACAATCCTCCATTCCCGACCAAGCCATCGTCGACCTATTTATAGCAGGCTTCACCGGCCAACTCAAAGGATGGTGGGATTACCATATTTCACCTAACAACAACTCAAAATTCTAAAAGTTGTTCGTTTAGATGAAAATGAACAACCCATCCTTGATGAGAATGTTGAACCCATACAAGATGCCGTACCTACACTCATCTTAGCTATTTCCTTACATTTCATAGGAGATCCTTCTCACCTCAAAGAAAAAAATGTTGAATTGTTATCAAACCTTAGATGTAAAAAACTTAGTGATTTCAAATGGTATAAAGACACCGTCCTTACTAGAATTATATTGAGAGAGGATTCAAACCAACCATTTTGGAAAGAAAGATTCTTAGCGAGCCTTCTTCCACTTTTAGGGGAAAAAGGTAGAAACAAAATTAGAAAAAATTTTGGTGACCAAGTTCCATATCATAGATTAACTTATGGCCAACTTATTTAGCTTTACACAAAAAGACGGATTAAAAATCGTCAAGATTTAAAAATACAAAAACAATTAAAATGGAAAATGCATAGAATTAAAAAGGAATTAGGATCCTTTTGTCGGTAGTTTGATGTTTCTTCACAATCACCTTCCTTTATTTCACCCTTTTGCACGGATTGTAAATCTAAACAAAAATCACGCTATAAACAACAAAAACATTAAAAAAAAATACCATGAAAGAGAAAAGACCTCTACACCTACCAAACCAACCATAAAAGTCCAACACTCCATTACAAGTCTAATTATAAAAATATCACCTGTTACAAATGTGGTAGAAAAGGTCACACCTCTAAGTATTATAGGATCAATAAAAAATTGCATGAACTAAAACTTGAGGAAGAAGTACTCAATAAAATTGAAGCCCTTCTCGTTGAATCCTCCGATTCCGAAACAACACCTTCGGATGTTTTTGAAAATGATGACCCACTACAAATAGATGAAATAGCAACCACTTCGGATTATGAGAAAGAGCCCGTAAAACAAATCAACGTCCTTACCAAAGATAAAAATTTCTCCTTAACATTATCAATCATATCCAAGACCCACAACTTCAAAAAGAATACCTCAACAAACTACAACAAAGTTTCGAACAATCCACAACTCCAAAAACAATGCCTCAACAAACTACAACAAAGTTTCGAACAATTACCTCTTCCAACCTCAAAATAGCACCTACAACCTTACCATAATCCTTGATAAAGCCAAAAAGACAAAAAGCCATAACACCAATATACAAGATCTCCAAGTAGAAATAAAAATTATAAAGCGAAACTTCACCAACTCCAACAAAAGCAAAAACAAAATTCCGAAACAATACAATTTCTCCTAGCAAACCAATCATTTGATAAAAAAAATTGAAGAGAATTTTGATAATGAAAGTGAAGAGCAAAACTTATAGCTTTTTAACATAGAGAAAATTCCCGAAGATTTTTTTATGTCTTTTAAAACACATTACATCCCAAAAATATTTGGTAAGAATTACTTTATGTTTTCCAAATGACTTTAAATTAGAAACTATTGCCCTTTTTGATACATGAGCATATCTTAACCGTATTAAAGATGGTATTATATCCAAAAAATTTCTTAAGCATACAAATGAATATTTAAAAGCTCGCAAACAATTCTTCTTTACAAATTAAATCAAAGACGAAACACAAATTCTTAATAATGGTTTTCCGATTAATACCTTATTCGTTATTGTAAAGGAAATACAACATACGATCATATTAGGAACTCCTTTTATTAACATGATTACCCCTTACAAGGTCAACCATGATCATATTTCTAAAAAATTTAGAAAGAATAAACTAGTTTTTCTCTTTACGAGTAAAACCAAAAACTAAAAATATTAATATTATTAAAGCCCACTCTATCTATGAAAATCAAATAAATTGTCTTATTCAAGGAAAGCAAAAGCAACTCAAAATTTTACAAAAAGATGTTTCTTTTCATAGGATTGGAAAATAATTACAAGATCCTAGTCTAAAACAAAAAAATTTTGAATTCCAAAACCATGTTGAAAAGGAAATATGTGCTGATCTACCAAATGACTTTTGGTCGAGAAAACAACATATGGTTGATTTACCCTATGAACATGATTTTTACGAAACATAAATTCGTACAAAAGCAAGACCTATCCAAATGAATAAAGAATTAGAACAACATTGTAAAAAAGAAATTCAAGATCTTTTAACAAAAGGACTAATTTCAAAGTCTAGATCCCCATGGAGTTGTGCTACCTTTTATGTCAATAAAAAGTCCGAAATAGAACGAGGAGTTCCAAGGTTAGTCATAAATTATAAACCTTTTTAAAAAGCCTTAAAATGGATTAGATATCCTATCCTAAACAAAAAAGTTCTTTTACAAAGGTTACACAATGCTCATATTTTTTTCTAAATTCGATATGAAATCGGGTTTTTGACAAATCTAGATTACACCTAAAGATCATTACAAGACTGTTTTTATCGTCCCATTTCGACGAGTATGAATGGAATGTAATGCCATTCGGATTAAAAAATGCCCCATCCGAATTTCAAAGAATAATGAATGATATTTTTGAACCATATTCTCAATTTTGTATTGTTTACATTGATGATGTTTTAATATTTTCTTCTTCAATAGAATAATTTTTTAAACATCTAAATAAATTTCTTCATATCATGAACAAAAATGGATTAGTTGTTTCAAAATCCGAATCAATCTTTTCCAAACAAAAATTCGTTTCGTTTAGGACATTATATCCGACAAGGCATTATCACTCCTATTGAAAGATCTTTAACTTTTACATATAATTTTCCCGATAGAATCAATGATAAAACAAAATTATAAAGATTCTTAGGAAGCCTAAATTATGTATTATATTTTTATCCAAATCTTAATCGATTATGCAAGCCCTTGCATGATAGATTAAAGAAAAACCCTATCCTTTGGACAAAACATCATACTCATATTGTTAGGCAAATTAAAAAACAAGTTTAAAATATCCCATGTTTACATTTAGTCGACCCTTATACATTTAAAGTTGTTGAAACCGATGCTTTTGACATTGGATATAGAGGAATCTTAAAACAAAGAAAAGATAATAAAGAATAAATAGTTCAATATACATCAGCTCATTGGAATGACACACAAAAAATTATTCAACCATTAAAAAAAAATTCTTTCTATTGTTCTTTCCATTACAAAGTTTCAAAGTGATTTACTAAATCAAAAGTTTCTTTTACACGGATTGTAAATCAGTAAAAGAGATTTTACAAAAAGATGTTTAAAAC